CAGTGACTGGGCCCGAGTTATACCAGTTATAAGTACTAAGAAAACCCCATTTATAGAATGTATAAGCCCATAGAAATAACCAGTTATAACTAGTAAATGGCCATAACTGTGAAGGATTTGATGTGAAAAATGTGATTTGAACAACAAACATTGCTTTCATGGGGATTCATGCGACTGACACTTGGTCAAAACCATTTTTTTCCATATATTTTCCCACATATCCCATAGGATCCATGTATGGTATATATGCTAACATTTGGGGTATATGGATGGTAAATGTTACCATATATAGCATACATGGATCCTATGGGTATGGGTAAGAGAGAAACGTCAGCGTCGATAACCACATTGACCACTTCATTGATTGAAGTTAACCCCGGTACCCTCTGGTAAACAGCCACATAACGAACTGGAAAATCAACATGTTTAATGAGTAAATCAACTATTTCGACTGGGCCATGTTCAATAGTTTTTTGTATGTTTACCAGAGGGTACCTGGACACTTTTGGCACCCAATGTACTTGCTCCCTTTTAGCGGGGCAGCATCGACAACGAATCAGCGCCGATGTACTGGCTACGGAATGCGACGCCCAAGCATCAATGCACAACTTATGGGGAAAACAACTTTAAAAAAAAAACACATTACTTGGTGGCTCATCCCACGAATCGTAACTGGGTTAGTTCACCCCAGTTTTTTCAGTGGATTAGCCCTACTTATCCCGTGTAAATCACTGTGGTTATAACCCACTTACGATTCGTGGGATGAGCCACCAAGTACATTCCCATTACCATCTGGTTATGACTAACAGTTTGCCATGGAAAGATCCACCATGCTATTAAGTTCGGTAAACCATCTATTTCTATGGGCCATTTATACCATGGCGAACTGTTAAATAACCAGAGGGTATATCACAAATGGTTGGGTGTAACCATTCAAATCCATATCCCAGTGTATCCAATCATATCATAAATTATGTTCATTGCTGTTTCTCGTTGCAGCATGAAATATCCCAACTAATCTAGTGCTCAATGCATCATTCATAATTCGCGTAATCTATCTGAATACATTGTGTGGGTTTCTAAACCCCGTGAATACTATGGTTACATCCCCCTAACCAACCCTAGAATTCACAAAGGTACCTTCAATTTAGCTATCGTTTGGAGGGGGCACTCTTGTTGGTTATATATCCCATCGAATCCCACCAAATCCCATGAACATACCATGACTCGTCATTGCTATCCTATAAATCCTGAAACTTTATTCAAAGGGATTCAACCAACCCCACCCAAAAGTGATCCCTCCAAAATAAAAGCTCATGAATGGGGCTTATTCACCACCAAGAATCACTAATAAGGGCTTATTAATCATCTATCTGGGTAAATCATAATATTTCACTAACCTGAAATATGGCTATTTGAGGATGATTCCCCTTACTAACCATGATTCCAGTGAGGTCGTAGTGAGGTCGTTATAATTTACCCAGATCTATTGTTGGGGGGGTGAAATATAGATTTTCCTGAGCCCTGACCCCTTCATAAGCAGAGGTTCTGTAGGTGTCGGAGCTGATTTCCTCACATATTTTCTTCATCCAGAGCGTCCTAGGCAAAAACAGTCGATGTTTTTTGGACTATGGCTTGGCCACTCTTAGAAACACTGCAATTATGTTTTCAGCTGGTAGGTACATACAATGTATATGTATATTGTATATACACATTTGTGATGTTAAACTACTAAACGGCACCAACCTTAATACTAAACTACTCATCGTCACGCCGTGGTTCCGACCGCGGGTCCAAGTCCCCAGTGTGGAGATGAGGTAGTTCAAAACGAAAAAAAATCTCCGAGTGATCACCACTGATATTCTATCTGACACATATTCTGACATTATATCTGGCATTCTTTCTGGCATATATATATATATATTTTGTTTTAACATTCCATCTGGCATTCTATCTAGCATCTGGTCCGGCAGTGCCCATTACATCTGGAGCTCGCGGTTCAGGAGCTGGAGGACGATGAGAAGGAGAAGGAGGAGGACAGGATGCACCTCTGATAAAATCTAGAGACCCTCACCTGGCAGGTGGGGAAATGCTGATTATGGCGATTTTGCATCTATAGCAAAAACGTAAGGATTGGTTTAGCGGTTGGGAATGCCTATCAGTCATAAGAATCTGGTGGAATATCCCACATTCTCCTATCCCGGATACGTATGACACGGGCATTTGTCGGTGCACCCACTGTCCTGAATTAATGTTTGAGGGGGGAGAGAGGTGGAGTGGAGTTATGTTCTGGGATGTTCAGACATATAGCCTATCTAACTTGACTATATCAAAAAAAATATTTGATATTCAGCATTGTATGGTCAGGATATTCCATATAAGTCGAGATATTCGATATACCTCATATATCAGAGATGGATTTGAAAAATGTGATTTCACTACTGGAAATAAACACATTATCCTTTGTGGCCTTCATGCTTGTTCTCAAATGCACAATCCTTTAACAAGAAAAACAACGGATTTTGGACCCAACATGAACAAATCAACAGCACCAGGAGTTCTGAAAGCAGTGGCATCTAGATTTAAGGGTACCCCTGCAATAAGGCCTTATGTTTCGGGGGTATCAACTCACCTTGTTGGCGGCTCGTTAAACCGCTCTTCTCAAACAAGCGAACAGACTTGATCAGATTTTCCCATTATTTTCATGGTTGTCAACCGGGAAATTGTTGAGCAAGTCACTTGCCGTCCTCCATGGAGAGGGCCAACACCTTAGGGGCAGTCTGGAAAAAAAATGTTTGGGAGTTTTTTTTTCGGAAGTTAGGGGACATATGGGCGGTTTTCTACCTGCAAATAGGGATGCTGGATGAATCATAACATGGAGGGAAAATGGGGGTACCCCTAGTTATCATCCATTTTCGATTGGGATTTTCCACGAAAGAAACCATCCAGCGAGCTTGGGGTAACGCAATTTATGGAAACCTCCGCATAAGAACTAATCCAACAGCTTGGGGGTGCGCTGCAGGACTGGGGCGACAAACATACGTTTTTTGCTACAACCAGCGATTCGAACTCAACTGGGATATGGGGCCCCTACAGTTAAGGCCCAAGTTATACCAGTTATAAGTACTTAGAAAACCCCATTTATAGATTGTATAATATTGTATAATCCGATGGAAATAATCAGTTGTAATATAGCCATGGCCATAACTGTAAAACTTTGGTGACATAACCACAAAAAACTGCGACCTATAAATTTCCCCAAGTAGAATGTTCGTCCTGACAGTCAAAAATCACAGAAAGGGCGGACAGAAAAGGCCAGGGCCGAGGAGGGATGGCAGATGGGAATCTGCGGATCGCCGAGCCGGTCTCAAAGACCACCGGCGGGCGACAGCAGATGTCTTTTTGATGGACAGGTTTAAGATAGACCTGCTTTTCCAGAATGTCATACCCATAGGATCCATGTATGGTACCTATATATGCTAACATTTGGGGTATATGGATGGTAAATGTTACCATGTATATATATATATAGCATACATGTATCCTATGTCATAGATGATATTTGCTTCAGATTACCAGGAAACTCCAGCTCTTCAAGTGATTTTGGGGTTGCTGGAATATCGAAATAAACGGCTTGTTGGGTGGGTTGATACCAAGGATCACGTCTTTTTCCAAGGCAACCTTCATGCCAATGATTAACAAACGCGTATCATCTGGACATCAGTGAACAATAGAAGTTTCGTGATAGGGATGAAACAGAAAGGTATGTGGGTTTGTCTGAAAATAGGGTGCCGCATACTTTCAGGTGAATTACCATTTTCGCTAGTTTGGGGGTCAATCTCCCATTTTCGATCAAACCAAACGCGATACAGTCTTGTTAGTATTTGTGAGTTATACTGTATATCCCGTTATATCCCGTTGCATTCCCATGATATCACCATAAATGCTCAATTTACCCTCATAGTTCATTGTATCAAACCCCCGGTTTTTGACGCTTTGCAAACAATGCTGCTGCTGATTTATCCCACTTTAGATGAATTAAATCTCCATCCTGGTTAAAAAAACCATCTTGGTGCTTCAATTGATCTACAGTTATGGCCATGGCTATTAGTTACAACTGGTTATTTCTATGGGCTCAAAAACATTCTATAAATGGGGTTATAAGTACTTATAACTGGTAAAGGGCCTGCTTATTACTTATAAGTAAAATTGTGATTTCAGGCAAGGCCCGAAATACCAGTTATAAATGGCGTTTTCTAAATACTTATAACTGTAGTGACCTTAAAGCAACTTATTTATGATTGGTTGATCCACCTTTTTTCGTCTCCAAACCGTCTTTGGGAAATGATGATCAACTGTGGCATAAACTGAAGGCTAATATACTGTTAATAATGGTTAATATGTTGTTAATATACTGCTAATAATGGTTAATGTATGTAAGTGTGAAAAATGATCCAAATGGAGAGAGCAGCAAAGGCACCAACTCACATCCTTTGTTTACCGGTGCAGGGGTTGGTGCCAGTTTGTCCTGGTTCCCTTCGATTGAAATCAGTGTACAGTTCCTGTACAGTGTCAAAATCCAATCAACCAGGTGTGCCAGGTCGATGATTTCCGCCATTCACAAATCGACTGGTCACAGCTGTAGGAGAGGGTGAAAGGGAACAGGACAACCCACCGAATCCGGTCACGGGATTATGGGTGGGGAACCTGAGAAAAGTTGATATCCAATTGAGAGGTGAGTCTCGGCAAAAGTTTAAGCTGTACAAAAAGATCACTCACATCGAGATAGAGCTCGGATGAGAAGCCATCGTAGAGCGGGTGCGTGAGATCATCCGCCCATTGATTTAGTTATCGAGGAACATGACAGGGTGCTAACGAGCAGCCATCGACATGAAGACGCAAAACGAGTTCCATCAAAATGGCTGCAGTGTGTGGCTTCTTGGATGCAAAGTTGAGCAGTGCAAAAACGTTTCCTTGATTAACACTGCCAACGGGGATTCTCACTGCAGCGGCCGTCGTGCCCTGCTTTTGCAAGATACAGTGGGTGAGTACCAAGATGCCAAGCAGCTCCAGTGCTGCAATTCTCTTCTGGGGGTTTCCATTCTTGAAAGCCCAAGGAAACATTTCAGGGGAGACCTTAAAAGATTTAACACTCTTTCGTTGTGCCACCTGAGGGTGTACCCCAGGGTCCGTGGTGCCATGACGTTGGTTGTCGTATGGACCGTTGAGGTCCTTCCCCGGGGAGGGGAATCTTGATGCAGCCCTTTGTATTGAGGAGGCTTGCTCAGGGCCAGTGGCACCTGTTCGGGCCTCCTGTCACTTGGGGGCGTGTGGACACTCACTCGTACTCTGAGTTCCAGCCGCTGCATCACATGTCCATCCACCAACCCGGACTGGACAATTGTGGGATCGGCCACACTGGCCCATGCAGAACTTGTACAAATGGAAGTCCCTGCAATATGGCACTTTTTTGGGGGTCCTCATGGCCCAGTGTGACGGCCAATCGAGCTTGCCCGGGGTCTTTGATTTACCTTTGGTGGTCTTGCCCGGGGTCTTACCGGACGTTCCCCTTCCTCAGGGAGAGCACTGATCTGTGTTGTCGCTTGAGGAGTGCATCACTGCCTTGTAATTCAAGCCGGGGCCTGCTCACCTTGTAGGTCTTCATGTACGTCTCCTCAGGGATGCGTCTGTCCAGTGAGATCTCCCTGGGGTAGTGCTCCCTGGGTGTGGGCTGTCCCCGGGATCCTGCTGGTCTCCAAGCAGATCCCATGGCGGATTCAAGGAGAACTGGCCAGACAGGGCTACATCACAGTTGAGGACCGGGCTGACAGATGGGATAGCCCAGCGGAAGCACGTAACCATGGACCCAGAGAGCTCGATTTCACAGAATGCAACCATGGCTTCACAGCACAATCAACGGCGTTCACTGCCATGAGGCTCCTTGAGGCGGTGAGGCCCTTGGAGAGTCTTTCCACATCTTCTTGCTGGTCTGGAGGTATGGCCTCAGGTGGCGTGGCTGGTGGTGATGCAGCCGTGCCTTAGTCCTTTAGTGATCACAGTAGTGCCAACCAAGGGTGGGTGTGGTGGGTTTTCAAAATCTGTCCAGGTGACACACCTGGATTATGCTTGAGCCAAAATGTCCGGTGGACATTTTGGTTCAACATTCCACACATATGCCTTGCAACCGCAAGCTCAATGCAAGAATCAAATGTATGTAAGTGTGAAAAAATGATCCAAATGGAGAGAGCAGCAAAGGCACCAACTCACATCCTTTGTTTACCGGTGCAGGGGTTGGTGCCAGTTTGTCCTGGTTCCCTTCGATTGAAATCAGTGTACAGTTCCTGTACAGTGTCAAAATCCAATCAACCAGGTGTGCCAGGTCGATGATTTCCGCCATTTCCGAAGGACGACCTGGCACAGCACGCCATTTCCGTAGGATGCCGGGTGTCCATCGGGATCTTCAACAGGGCCAGCGGCACCTTTCCAATCCGTCAAGGAATCCTGGATAAAGGGAGCTCAATGTGTTCACTGTCCGACTCTGTGTGAGATGATGAGGAGCTCCTTCATCAACAAAGCAAGGAGTCGAACTGTTTTTGAATGAGCGACCCGAGGAGATGACTGCCATCTTCCAGGCCCAGGATGGTTGCAAAAGACTCTTGATCAGCGGGCACACTGCTGTGATCCATTGTAGTCTGCCAAAACTTTCAATGAACTTTGCCGTCATTGCCGTATTCTGAATCAAAAGCTCCAGAACTTCAAAAAACAGGATGTGTTTCGTGGCAATTATCTGGACCTGAGGAATGTTGGAGTGAATGACAAATCCCAACCATGTGTTGACCTCTGTCAGATGGGTCTTTTTCCAGCTCAAAGAGACTCCCAAAGCCACCAAGATGACAAGAATGACCGTGGCCACGTGGTCCGCATCTTCAGCACGTAGAATCCAGCAAAAGTCATCCACAAACACAAAACCCCAGTCGACCTGAGGGAAAATATTGTAGAGGAGTCTCAGAATGAGAGCCGCTGTTCTCCCCCAGTACAGTTGTGCACTTGCCATGCCGCAGGTACCCATTTTGTGGATCCACCATTCTCCTTCTAACTCCGCAACTTGGAATCGCCAATCCTCCGGAAGGATCTTGACCCTGCGGTGTGCTTGGGTACCATCTGCGTTCAGGAGCAGCCATTGTTGTTGCAGTTTTGGCCATTGCCATTGGTCAGCAGCTCTTCCCCCATCCTCTGGGCCTGCAGCGTCAGTAGGCGGGGAGCGGCTAGCTGCATGGAGCCAGCGTAAGGCTGGAAACCAGTAGACTGAGTCACGGGCAGGTGACTGAGCATCTGACAACCATCCACCAATGTACGCGTCGCCAGTGAAGTCCGCACTGGCATCACTACAGCCCCACCAAGAAGACTTTGGCAGGTAGGGCGAGAGTTGCCGATATGGGATGATGAAGAGCTCCTTTTGCAATAGTGCCAACAGGCGTACAGTCTTGGGTGGCCTCCCTGACGAGGTTACTGCCATCTTCCAAGCCCAGAATGATTGTAGCGGGCTTTTGATCAATGGGCAGACTGCGATTGCCCATTGTAAGCGTCCCAAAGCCTTCTCAATGGCTTTGATTGTCATCACTGTGTTCTGGATCAGGAGTTCAAGGACTTCCAGGACAAAAATGTGTTTTGTCGAGATCATCTGAACTTGTGGAGTGTTGGGGTGTATGACAAAGCCCAACCAAGTGTTAACTTCTGCCGAATGGGTTTTCTTCCAACTCAAAGGCACTCCAAGCGCAACCAGTGTAGCAAGAATTGCTGTGGCCTGGTGGTCTGCGTTCCCTGCACGTAGAAACCAGCAGAAGTCATCAACAAAAACAGATCCCCAGTCGACCTGGGGAAAAAGGTTGTACAGCGGTCTCAAGATAAGAGCTGCTGTTCTGCCCCAATATAGTTGAGCACTTGCCATTCCGTAAGTGCCTACCTTGTTGATCCACCACTCTCCTTCCAGCTCTGCTACTTGAAACCGCCAATCTCGCTGGAGGACTTTGACCCGTCTGTGTGCCTTGGTCACATCAGCTTTGAGTAGAAACCATTGTTGTTTGGGTTTGGGCCATTGCCAGTGGTGTGTTGCGGCGGTGTCGTCCCGCAGGTGAGGGACCGTGAGTGGTTGTGAGTTGCTTCCTGATGATGATTTGCCTCCTCCATCACGTAGTGGTCTGGATTTGAAGGCCACATGGAGCATGACTATGTCATCAAAGAGGTGGATGTCATTGGCCAAGGGCTCCACAATGGGCCTGTCAGAAGTGCGCATGAGCTGTTCCATCGAGATAGGGGTCCACAGCGATGTAGATTCCTCAGTTGAAGTGGCTGTTGATGGTTGTTGGTCGTTGTTGTTTGCTTTTGTGTGGGTTCCTGAAGTAAGCAAGGAAAGGGCCTTGAGGCCTTTGCTTGCACGGTGTTGGGCCGGTGATCTGGAGAGTGAACATTTCACTCCTTGGGATCTTTGCCTGGTTGTCTCCAGTGATTCTGTTCCACTCAGGGCCTGCGGCACCTGTGTGGTAGAGTTGGATTGGGTTGCCGTTGTGGTGTGCTCGGGTGCCATCCCGGGCTTTGAACTCTGGGGAGTGTCCATCCCTCCTGTCATTGGAGGGGATACTTCCCCTTTTGTCGGCCCGTGCTGGCCGAGCCCCAGTTGGGTTGTGACCTGCAGTCCTGGAGTCGGGTTCTGTAGAATTGGTCTGGCCCTGATGGCAATGACTTGTGCCAACCCTTGCATCATCGTCCAGGGGTATCTGCTCAGGTCACTACTGGAAATGTCCGCCAGTTTCGGGTGGTCAGGATGATCATGCCAGTCCAGTGGCCCAGGTCCAAATCTGTTGGCAGGGTGGTGGACTTGGCTACCAATTGTCCTGGTTGACACTGGTCAAACTTGACCTGCCGGTGTCTCAGGGTCTTTGCCCGTTGGAGTCCCACGTGAACTGTGGTGTGGTTCCCACCTGTGTGAGTGTGGTCTCTCAATTCTTCGTGGTGCCGCCTGGGGGTGTTCCCCAGGGTCCGTGGTGCCATGCCGTGGGGTGGTGTCCACCAGGGAGAGTGGCTTCGCACTCTCTCGTGGTGCCGCCTGGGGGTGTATCCCAGGGTCCGGGATCATTGAGAGTGGTGCTGCACTCTTTTGTTGTACCACCTGGGGGTGTGCCCCAGGGTCCGGGATCATTGAGAGTGGTCTTTCACTCTGGCCCCATTCACTTGTGCATTCCATCGGTGGCCCTCATCTGGGTGCATAAGGCCAAAGGTCTTGGAGGTCCCCTTCAAGGTGTTCCACACTTGCTGCAGTTCGCAGGGTGTGACCTCGGCCGTTGCCCGGTGGTTGAGGAGGTTCCTCACATCCCCATCTCTCCATGGGATTGTCGTGCCCAGAACGTACCATCCCCGTGAGGAGGGAGGCCTGTGTTGAAATTCCTACTGATCCTAGAAAATTCCATGAATGCAAAGGCCAATGATTTGAGTTAGGAAACAAAATGTAGGTCTTGAGCCAATGACTTGAGCCAGGAAAAATGTGGGGGGCCAGAAGTGCGGGGGGGAGCAGGAGGGAGGAAGGTCACAGTGCCAAGTGCATCACCGCACCTCAACCCCTGTGCGCGTGTTTGCAGTGATGAGAGCAAAACTGACAGTGCCTCTCGGTGTCAGCAGTGCTTCCAACATCACTCTCAGTCCGGGAGGTCGTAACCCCGCCGTTTTGCACAAAAGAAAAGGGGTTGTTCTTTCAGTGAAAACAATTGAAAACAGTGCACAAGACACAAACCCCTGTCACAAGGTGCATGCAGAGGTCCCGAGTCAGTCCAGTCCGAAGTCACGTCAACAAAAACCGAACCCAAAAGGGAAGAAAAGAGTCCATGTCCGAAGGTCCGTCCCATCACAACTATGACACACTGGACAATTCATCAGTTGTGCCATCGGAATAGGGGACAACAAAGTCGTAGTTGCCTTAGTTGGTTGGTTTCCCCTGAATGCCAGAGGTGAGCAAGGAAAGGGCACGGAGGCCTTTGCTTGCCCTGTGTTTCTCTGGTGAGGCTGGTGGTGATCTTTTCATTCCCCTCTGGGGGTCTTGGGTGCACTGGGTGAACCTTCCGCACTCAGGGCCAGCGGCACCTGTATGACTTTTTCCCCATTGTGTGTATCCTGGGTGTCGGGCGTTGAGTGACTTGGTGGTGCCTTCCTTGGTGTCCCACTGGTGCTGGGAGAGCCTTGTTCACTTCGGCCTGTGCCTCTGGGATCTGATTGATACGGGGTCTCTTCCAAGGGTACTGTCTTTCCGGGCGTGGGTACCTCCAGTGCGGGTCTGGCTCTCATGGCAATAGCTGGTGCTAGTCCCCGCATCATCTGCCAGGGGTATCTGCTGACATCACTGCTGATCATGCTGCCAACTTGGGGTGGCCTGGGTGATCACAAGTCATGCCCATCCAATGTCCCAACTCCAAGTCTGTTGAGGGGGTGGTTGACTTGGCCGCCAAATGCCCTAAGCGGCATTGGTCGAACTTGATCTGCCGGTGTCGCAGGCTCTTGGCCCAGTGGTGGTAAGCATTGATATGCCCGGGGAGGAGGTACATTTGACGCAGCAAAAGCGTGCTGTCATTGTCAACATCCTATTAGTCTCGTGGTGTGAGTGCCTGGATTCCAGTGGGACGACTGTTGTCACTCCGACCATGTAGATGATTCAGCTATGCGATCTTGAAGAGGACGGTGCTTCCATGCCACCTGAGGCTCTGTGTCACGTGGAGCTTTGCCTCCATGTAGCAGCTCAAGGCCTTTAATGTTGTGTCCGAAGGTGATGAGCTTCGGCTTGACATGTCCATAGACCCCTTGTTGAAACTCGCGCCAAGCAGCTGTGCGCCACACCCTCATGTAGTGGTGCTTCTGGACATCCTCCTCAGAGCGATACTCTTTGGGCACCTGGTTTGGGGAACCATCTCAAGGTGCTCCAGGTTCTACAGTTCGGGCCGCCCAATACAATTGGGACCAGGCCCCGGGCCGCCAGGGTACACAGGGTGTTCTCTGGTTCCGACGCCATCAGGTTTGGCCCAGCTTTCTGGGGTCTCGCCTCGCGTCAATGGCTCTGATGAAGGGGAAATCCACGCATGGTGTGCATGCAGACAGGCGTCCAGTGAGCCTGCATCATCCTTGCCTGCGTACAACAACAGTACCACATGTTTTCCCCACTTGTCGAGGGATACTGGTGTCCAAGTCCAGCCTCTGACGGAGTCTCTGGGCAATATGAAGCATCCCCGTGTCTTTTGTTGTACCACCTGGGCGTGTACCCCAGGGTCCGGGAACTTTGAGAGTGGTCTTTCACTCTGTTGTTGTACCACCTGGGGGTGTTCCCCAGGGTCCGGGGTCATTGAGAGTGGTGCTACACTCTTTTGTTGTACCACCTGGGGATGTGTCCCAGGGTCCGGGATCATTGAGAGTGATCTTTTTCGTTGTTGTTGTGCCACCTGGGGGTGTGCCCCAGGGTCCGGGATCATTGAGAGTGGTCTTGGACTCTTTTGTTGTACCACCCAGGGTCCGGGAACCTTGAGAGTGATTTCACACTCTCTCGTTGTGCTACCTGAGGGTGTACCCCAGGGTCCGTGGTGCCATGACGTTGGTTGTCGTATGGACCGTTGAGGTCCTTCCCCGGGGAAGGGAATCTTGATGCAGCCCTTTGTATTGAGGAGGCTTGCTCAGGGCCTGCGGCACCTGTGTTGGCCTCCTGTCATTCGCTTCCGGGGGGTGAGTGCCTGGCGTTGCATCGCATATCCATCCGTCTACCCGGACTGGACAGTTGTGGGATCGGCCCCACTGGCCCGTGCAGGTCTTATACAAGAGAAAGCCCCTGCAATATGCAACATTCTTGGGGTCCTTGAATGCCCAGTGTGAGGGCCAATCAGGCTTGCCAGCGGCTTTGGATTTCTCTTTGGTGGTCTTACCTTTTCCCCCAGTGTTGTTCCTGACCATCCCTTTTCCATTGGGGTCTCCCTTCCGGGGTTTGTTCCATTGTGGAAGCCAGGGTGTGGTCAGTGACTTTGTGACAATGAGGTGCGGTGCCCTGTGGGCATGCCCGCATCTTCTAACCCGCTCGCAGTAAATGAAAACCGAAAGAGACATCACAAGGTGCCAAACTGAAGCGTGTCAAAGAAACCCCCTAGTATCAGCCCATCATACCGTTAACATGAACGGTGTGCATCATCGCACGGTGTGAGTGAACATCAATGAAACGCAAGTGCATGGTGTCCACGGTCTAAACACGTCTAAACATGGCTTGTGGGTACCTGACAGGCAGCAAATTGCTCCAAAGTAAGACCTGCTTAAACATGCCGGGCAGATACCTGTCAGACAGTGAATCGCACGAGAGTAAAACACGTCTAAACATGGCTTGTGGGTACCTGACAGGCAGCAAATTGCTCCAAAATAAGACCTGCTTAAACATGCCGGACAGATACCTGTCAGGCAGTGAAATGCACTAGAGTAAAACACGTCCAAACATGGCTTGCAGGTACCTGACAGGCAGCAAATTGCTCCAAAGTGAGACATGCTTAAACATGCCGGGCAGATACCTGTCAGGCAGTGAATTGCACAAGAGTAAAACACGTCCAAACA